AAAAATGCAGTTTCAACTGCTTTTTATTTTATAAAATCCGTCTTCTTGCGCCACCAGAGGGCCTTTTAAACAATAGGTAGTCTGTTAGCGCTGGTCAGTAGTAGTCCAAATTGAATAAAACATTTGTTTCTTGAAAATTTGATCACGATTTAAATACAGTATTTATTTTTAATATTACCGATATGTCATCGAAAAGAAAACGTGTTGTATTATCATTAAAAGACAAATTAAAGTATCTGTTTCGATTATCCGGATTTTTCCTTATCCGGACTACCTTCATTCCTAATTAGTCCGGATAATCGAGGTTCTACTGTATCTGTTTTTTGTTTAATTAAGAATTGTTTGTAAGATAAAATATCACAAAAAGAACAATGTTTCTTAAAATATTTGCGGCAAAAACAATTTTTTAATATTATCAAATCTTAAACACCCAAGAAGTTTCATATCTAAATAATTGCAGTTCTAGTTTTTAAAAACATTTTTTTTTTCTATCTGTCCATTGTTAAATAAAAATAATTCATTATGTGTTGTGAAATAATAAGTATTGTAAATTACTATGTTTGATCCAGCCAGTTATATTCGATGTTTTTTGTCTATAAAATTTAATTCATGAATTTTTTTGCTAGTAAAATTGACTTGGCATTGATCATTCGCCGATAATTGATACTTTTTAACAGAATCTATATAAATGTCTATTACAGCTTCTACAGAACAGTGTAATGCTTTTATGGTCGACTTGTCTGTAAAATAATTTCATGCTCTTTCACTTGAAATGCTTCAAAATCTATTAGCATCGCATTCTGTAATTTTATATAANAGACTATACCTTTCAGCAGTGGGTAAGTCAGGTGCTATCTGTATGTAGTGTAGAATAAACGTTGCAAATTTTTTAAAGTATTTTCCCACACGTTTTTTCTCATTACCGTTTAGGAAAAAATTTTGTAAACAGTTATGTTTAGTAAAGAAAAGTCTTTCTTTATTGTTACATAATTCATTTTATGTGATTTTAACATAAGAAGGTGAAACATAAGAATGTTTATTATTTGTTTTCAAAATTCAAAAATTTAGTAGGTAAGCATTTACAGTGGAAACAGAAATATTTAAAATACGAAAATATTTGAATTTAGTATCTAACAAAATCTTTAATAAGTTATATGTAATTTTTCCACAGCAGACATCTGAAAGTGAATACTGCATATGTCTGTGATTTGTTTAAACGTGCTATTTACTCTGTCTTACAATGAAATATTATATGACTATACTATGTTAAAATTGTATCTGTCTTTTGTTATATAGTAACGTTCACAGAAACACACCATACTTTTGTTGTGGCTCGAGATCATATGAAACCACTTGTTTAATAATTTTCGGATTCGCAGAATACTAGCGTGGGCAGTTATTACTGTACATACCAGATTCTCTGGTGCTGCATTAAAAATTTCAAAAGATAATAGCATTTATAAAGCTCTAGACATTACTTTACAAAAGTTGAATGACATTTATTAAAATATTGTTTTTAAATCAAAAGCTTTAACCAAATTTCTTTTCAGAGAATGGAAAAAGGAATTGCAGGAGAAAAATCCGAACATACTGAAAGCTGTTTTACGTTTTGTTGGTTGGAAGTACTTGATTGTAATACTACTTGTACTAATTCAGGTATTATGGCATCCGATTATAAAGAGGTGAAGTTAGTAATAATATAATTGAAATAACTGATATTTACGTATAATTACAGGAAACAGCTTTAGTTACAGGTCAAGCATATTTTGTAGGATCAGCAGTACATTATTTTGAAAACAGACAAGAATGGAATCACTACAACGTTTATGTTACAATTGCAGGATTTTTTTCTGTTACTGCGATTTATTTGTTTACGCATAATACTAATCTGTTTATGACAGAATATTATTCAATGAAACTGAAAATAGCTTTTTGCACTCTTGTTTATAGAAAGGTATGTATAAAAGATAATGTATTTTGAGTAAAATATTATTTTTATATTATTCATATATAGTGTATTGTAATTAAATATATTTGAGAAATTTTAAAAAATACTCTAGAAAAAACATTTTTCTAACAATAGTAGATTTTGTCTTTCAAATTAATTTGATGGAAGTTATGATAAAATGAATTATTACTCAATATACTCAAGAATTTTGAAAAACTATCGTTTCCTGCTAAAGATTCTATTAAAAATTTGTCTTCTTGTACATTCTCCAGTAATACTTCGTTTTTCCTTACTTTTGTGGACGATACCTTGCTAAAAGTAACTGACAATTCAAACGTGTGAATCTATTGCATTTCTTCAGAATTAACAGTAAATAATATGAACCAGAATGTTACACTTCATGTGTTTCTATATTAAATTCATAAATATAATTATTCCAGTTGTTTCTGCTACTGTCATTGGTTAAAATATACACGATTGGGCAGAGAAACGAGAGGTTTCAAAGTCGATTTTTCTATGTAATGATTGAATAGAAAAAACTTCCTGATAGATGATATGTTGGCTAGAAGAAGTAGTTATTTTGAACCATCGAATAGATGCGCAATGTGCGTTTACCATTCAGGCTTTTCGTGAATATAATAATTGTATAATGGCCGCAGAATAGTTATTTCGCCGTCATTTTAAAACCCATTAAAATAATCATGTCTTTATGACATGAATTGAGAACTTTCAGGAAAGTTGTTCTGTATCATAAAAAGTAGGGCGCTGTCCGATTATCGTGGCTGTTGGCGTTAATACTTTGCTCTCTTGTGATTTGACCCATTACTGTTACTTTTCTGAATAATAATTAAATACTCATCTGAGAAAACAAAAACTTTTTGCCACTATTCCAGGATGGATCACAATAAAACGTAAAGAAAAACGAATTGAAAGAGAGGAAAATGTTAGAGGTGAGTCGATAGAGTAAATGGTCTTGTCTTAAATAGGTGCCGAAAATGGGATTAACGTTCAAGAAAGAATTAAACTTTTGTTAAAACTACAACACTTTTCAAATAGTAAACTACAGGTAGTTTTAGAGAGATCAGATAGAACAAAACTATTGAAAATATTTTGTATTGTATTGCCTGTGTTGAAAACATAGACATTGTTACGGTAGATCTTGAATTTATACTCCTTGCCCTCGAAATTGATAAAGCAACAGATATCGTTAGGAATAACAAATCAAATGCAGAAATAAATGCATTCTGTAAAAATTTTGCCTACGTCAAAAGTTTTTGAAACTGGAAGATAAGGACAAAGAAATAACTTTGTAATTTCGGGTTTAGAGAATGACGAAAAAATGGATAATTGTCTATGCAAGGTTCGAAAATTATTTAGTGATAGTTTACGGATGTGAATATCAAGCGAACTTATCGAATTAAAAATTTCAAACCTAATTCAAAAAGACTGGTTATTTATAAAGTGTTTAACTTTGAAAATAAACAAAAATATTTAAATATATTAATATAGTGAAAAATTATAACATATTTGTTAATGATGATTACTCGCCAAATACTAAAATTATCAGGAAAAATCTAAGACTTTATGGCAAAATATGCGCTTAAAAAGAGCTACTAATTTAAAACTGCAATATAACAAATTGATTGTGTATGATAAGACGATTGCCTGTAATTTTAAAGATGAGATTTTTTAAAAAGAAAACAATCAACATTTTTTTAGAAATATAGTTTGTAACGATAAAAAATTAATTAAAGAAAATTATAAGGAAAATAATGTTTTATACTCGGACAATGGCAATAATGCAAAACTTTTTTTTATAACATAGTAATTTTTGATAATAAATATTACTTTTCTAATTTTTGAAATATAATATATCTACTGTTTAGTAGAAACATAGCATACTTTACTGGTAATAATTGATGTTCTCTGATAAATATAAAATTTTCCCTCAATTAGCACATAGTTGTGAAGGAACTGCAAGACCTAGGGGTGGCTTCAATGGCGGTTTTAAGTGGACACGGTTTTTAACGTTAAAATTATATTTCAATTACTATTTTTTTTTTTTTTTGTTTTTACAATTGGACATTGAGAAGTCAATCAATATTTAAGAAATAGTGTTATATATGTTGCCTGACAACTATTTCGATGAAGATATTAAGAACATGTTATCGCTTATAGAAAACTATCTGCTACCTGAAACGAACTTGATTTTATGCGCTAATTTTAACGCTCGAATGGGACTTTTACTGGCAACTGGAAAACTTTTTCGAGAGCCTCAAAAGATATAATTGTTAATGACAGAAAGAAAATTCTATATAAATTTTGTGAAAATAAGTCTCGCGTGTTTAAATGGCTTGTCGCCAGGAGACAAAAAATAATAATAATTTTACCTATCACTCATCAAAAGAAGGCAGTATAATTGATTTTGTGATACTATCACAAAATATATATTTTAGTGTTGTAATTAATTTAAATGTTTTAACAAAGATTAGCTCAGAATATTTACCAGTTTTATTAAAACCTATCTGATTGGTATCATTTCGCATTTTTAACAGACAACTTTTAAGTAAACGTGCAATGTACAGTACACATATGAAGTTAAATCTTAATTATCTCTTAAATTAGGTAATGTTCTGTCAAATGAGTATGGAAGAATTCTTACACCTGATGATCTAGGTAGAGCTTAAGCAGCGATGTCTTCTTTGGACTTAATTTACGACGTTAATCCTGTACCAGGTAAAACTCATGCAACAAATAAATGTATAATAATGAGTGTCACATCTTGGGGAAAGATTTGTGGAAGTTCTTTAAAAAGGTTATAACGTCATATACAAATGAATATTATGGTTTCTATAATATTATTTTGAAAGACTACAGACGTTTATGTCAAAAAAAATAATTTTATTTTTGAAACTTAAATAGAAGACTGGTGACATGTAACAACTCTAAAACATTTTGGCAAACAATCAACTAGTTTAGAGGTAGAAGAATATATTTCAAAAATTACTTTGGAAAGATGGCTAAACTTTTATGCTGTTAAATTCTCTAAAGGTCATTTTGTCTCGAATAATGGTCAATTGTCAACGGATAGTTATAAAGTGCTTACAATAAGACAGGAATGTTTTTCGGACTATACATTGGAAGAAATAATAAGAGCAATTAATCAATTAAGCAATATTCAATAGTTATTATCAATTAATAGGTTTTATGATATATACGCCTGAATATATTTAAATACTAGTTTAATTACGTATATTAATTTTAAATAGTTTACGATTTTTGTAAAATATTTAAAACTATATTGAGAACTATTACACACCCTGCTTTAACAATCACATGCAGATTAGAAGTGTCATCTTGTGACCCCATCTCATCTATATTTATATTAAAGACAAATATTAATTTTGGAATTTGAATTTTATTCTACTTTTATTCACTACGGTTTGTGAATACTATGGAGTATATTTGACAAAAATTCAGTAATTGTAGTGGTTCCTATAAAAAATATCTGATGCTGCGCGATGAATTGTTGCTCTTGTGGAAGTATTATATTACTTTTATTTGAGGAATTGCAGTCCTCACTATAGAAGTAGATATAAAGTGTATGCAATGTATTTATTAAATGTATTTAATAATGTATTTATAAAGTGAAAAGACAAAAGTATTTAATTATTATAATTGAAAAAAAGCAAGTGTTGATAAACTTGACAAATGTATAAGAACATACAGTTGTAGGCATGGTACAAAATGGCCAATGGCTGTTTTTTTATTTTTTTTTAAATTTGATTGATCTAGTCGATTATAATTCGTATGTGGTTTATTATGAGGCAAATAAAATGTAGGCGAAAAAATATTCAAAACGTAAATAGGGTCAAAAGGTTTTTGAAGAGTCTAGGCAAATTATTATGCCAGGTCAACACGATATACAGATCTGAACATTTCCAAGGTTTACATAGCAATTCAGTATTAGAACAAAAAGTACTTGACTTTGAATGCAATCAAGTGAGAGCAATTTCAACAGGGACAGTTCAAACGAAATCAAAGGGAATAGCAACAACAAATGATATTAAAAGAATTTCTAAAAAAGGAGATGCTTTCTATGTTGAAGATTAAAAGAAAAAATACATAAAATGTTGTAAAAAGTGACTGAAATACATGTGCCTTAGACATACAACGAATGATGAACAAATTTCTTAGAAAAAGTACTGCGTGCAATTAATTTAATTTTATAACCATTATTTTTAACAATAAAAATTGTTTTGAGTGCTAAAAGTTGAGTTATTTTAAAAATCCAAATTTATAGAAACAAATATCTCAATAAAAAATATATCAACTTCTAAATTTAATCCATTATATAATACATTCTTGCGTAATAAAATTAATTTTGTCAAGTTGCGTGAGTAAACAAGTATTAGAAAATGTAATTTATTAGTTACTTTACAGAATTTACTGATAATTATACTCGTATTTTTAAATGATATTTAATATCTTATATACTTTTCGAAAAATATTTATTTTACATTAAATTTTCATATGCAGGCAATTAGGTTAAGTTCTTCTTCTCTGGAAAAATCAAATGTGGGACAAATGGTAAATCTTCTAGCTAATGACGTCGGCAAATTCCAGAACGTAAGTTTAAAATAATTTTCTAAACAATAATACATTTAATGTACACTTGTCGACCTGTATATTTTGTGTACGTATTATAATGGCCGAATTAGTAAACAACTTTAGAATAACAAATAAAGGTAATTCTGACAAGAGGAAAGTGCAATGAGCTTGGTTTCAGTCAGATCTCTTTTAAAATAACACTGATCATTTCAGATTAAAATTCAATAGAAACAGTTTGTAAGAATTGTCTTCTGAGTAAACGACAAATCAATTTGATGAAAATCATCCTTTAATGCTCTTTACATATATAATTGTTTAATATAATAGGTTTGGGCCATACTAATAACAAAATTAATTTTTCGAGTAAATTACTATTGAATAAATTAAAATTACAAAAATTTTTTTAAATTAAATTAAGATTGCAAATAAAAATTCGTCGAATAGAATTATTTCACATCACAAAATTAATTTTCTAATTACAAATTTAAATCAAATTAATTTTATTTTAACAATAAGCCAGAGTTTCTGTATTAATTATTAAATTTTATAATATCCGAGAAAATTAAGACATGACAATTGTATGAAATAATATAACACCAAAACGAAATTATTTTTTAAATTTTCTTTATTTTTACATTAATATATTAAATAAGTTTATTTTATTTAAGATTTTCCAGTTTTTTCGTTCACTTTATTTAAAACATGACATATTCCTGTTCTAATTTCTGATATCTAATAAATTAAGATTACAAATAATTTGTCGAGTAATAGTTTTATTATCAATACTAGAATTAATTATTTTCTTGATAGATATTTGTCTTGATATTCCGGTACATGACAATTTGAAATAATATAACAATGAAATTATTTTGAAAAGATTTTCATTTTTACATTACAGTTTATTTGAGTGTTTCGACTTTTTCCTTCAGTTTACCTAAAGCAAGACATTTCTGCACGTATTAATTTTTAAATTAATTTTTCAGTAAATAAATTATTTTCAGATCAGAAATTTTTCGAGTAAATTAAGATTATAAATAATTTTAATATTTAGGAAACTGTTCAATTTATTTCTTACGAAAAAGTTTTCATATTTAGAAAACTTCTCAGTTCAATTCATTGCTTCATTTAAAATTAATTTGCAATAATAATTCTTACAGTTTGTACTAATATCCGATTTGGTTGAAAATTATTAATATATATTTGCACTTTTTTTGTTTTATTATCCGAATAAATTAAAACACGACACTTTCAAATAATATTACAGCAATAAGGCAAAGTAAAATAGGGAAAGAGTTTAATATAATAATTATTTAAATTATATTTGTTACTTATTTATTAAATACCTACCTATACAATGCATTGATTTTGAAAATACAGTAGAACCTCCATTATCCGGACCTCCATTATCCGGATTTTCGATTATCCGGATTGTTCAAAATAAACAAAAATTTTACGAATTTGCTGATTTGCACTTGGCGAATTACGACACTGTTTATGTACGTGATGGAATG